CGCAAAACTTCGAACGTGTAAAGAGCAACCGAGTCGAATTTTACGACATGTTTTTATTGGAGGGGGAAATATTTATGCACCCATGCGAATTGAAATGAATTCATTTCATTCCAGAGATTTATTTAGTTACTTAGCTCAAAACGTCAAGTTTTTTATATTAAATACAGGAAAAGTTAAATTCATGTACTGGTTTATTATGTTACACAAATGAACAACATGTTTAAGCGAATTGTATGGATATTTATGTGAAACTCCTCAAAGCAAATTGCTTGAGTCAAATATAATATTTTTGAATCAAAGTTAATCAAAGTCAAATATTTTGTGACGAAACATCAATTACATCGATTTATTTGAGTCAAAATAATTATTTTTGATTTAAATCTAATTTGATTATTTTAAATTAGTCTTTACTTCTTTTAAAGAAATACGAGTCAAATACATGATGAATTTGTCGTTAAAGTACGATTTTTTTCTGTGTACTTTTCAAGAAGCAGACAAAAAAGTTTTGCAAAAATCACTCGCCTACCAGTATAGATCGATTTTGTTAAATGAACTGGTAAATACCTACTGCAGTCTAAAACGTACGGGCCACCTAATATCAGTCGGAATAAGTTTTTCAGTTTTCCATAAAACATAAAAGAATGTATTTCCGTTGTTTTCTAAGGTAATGTTAATTGAAGCGGTACACTAAGTTCAGGTGATTTTAGAAAACTCCCAATTATTTCCCCGTTAGGGGTTTAAATTAGGAAAAAGAATTCGGTCATTAAATTAAAACGTCTAAAGTGAGCTGTAGTTGTTCAGATAAGCGCAGTGAATTCTTCAAGCGTCTAGCTAGACTGTGAATTTGTAGCTGAAAGTATAATATTATACTCCACTCACAAAACCCGTACACTGTTCTACTTTGGAAACCTATAGTCGCAGTAGGTTTTCTAATTAAATTCCGCGTTTGCAGTCTAATTATTTTCAAGCGTTTCAAGCTATGTATTTTGGTATTTCACTAGTTCCCCATTAATTGGCCACGACGAAATTCCTTACTCGTTCTCTCAAATTATTTCATATTTTATGTCTAAGCTTACAACACCAATTTTCTGCTTCAGGAAGTTGTATAAGAAAACACACGTCGGCAGCAGAATGTTAATAAACCTATTAATTACAGCCTGCGTTTCCCGAAAATAAACTTTCCTGTAAAAATGTAACTACTGCCTTTGAAAGCCGCTAGTGGTTAAACTTATTATGATGTATCGCTTTGTTTTTGAACAAGCAATAGCACACCTGTAAAGTAATTTAAAGGATAAGTCGCATCTACTATTTATTGCGCGCTGGACTTGAGGATTTGAGACTGATTTTTTGAAGGGGTTGGGGCTGCTTGTGTTGTACAGTTAATTAACTAGCATATTATCGAACAATCGATCACAGTCTGTCGCGTTGGTTTTCTTACCGTATACCTCCTTACATACAGTATTTTACAATAATAATTGACAAGGGCCGCTGGAGTGTTATAATCTTTATCATCACATATGCTTCAGTTTTGAAATTCCAATCAGCGGGTAAAATTGAATACGAGATAATTTATTACAATCAAAGTCTTATCTCAGTTTATCTTGACATAACCGTTGCATATGACCATTGAATTTTAAATTCAATGATATGACCATTGAATAATAAATCTGATTCGTTATTCAATGATATGACTGAACTTTGATTGTGAAAATCAAAGCGGATGTCATACTGTCTAGTAAAGCAAACCGCAAGGGCACCATTTTCCGTTTACAGAGTTACACTTGTGTCTCTAGAATCACATCGATTTGTTCTGCATTGGCAAGAACATTTAGCATTCAGCTCCACTAGCTAAGGCGCTATGCGGCGCGGCGTATGAGAAATTACCGCAACCGGTGATTAAACTGTTTTAATTGAATTTGCATTAGATGGTTAAGCGGTGGAAAGAGATGCACTTAAAGACTAGCGAATAAGTTGTAAAAAAAGAAACTGAAATAACAGTGTTAGAAGCCCCTTCCGATATAGGTGTCTATGCCAATCAGCGCTTCACTATAAAACCATTTCCGTCTACCTCACACGCCAATAAATCGCAAATCATCAAAGATAAATGATTCGTCATTTAGATTTGTTGAATTTAGTCGAAAACGGTTCAAGTGAATTCATCTTCTTTAAGTAGGTACCCAATACAATTACTTAATAACCCTCTTACAAGAGTTAGAAAGTTTCACACCCTCAAATCAAATTTCGTAAATGGAACTGGAGAGCTAAGAGCCACGTTCAAACCCGTCGTCATATCAGGAATATTAAATGTATGACAAAACGCTTACCTTACTAAAATTATATTGTACAAATCACTGTCGATGACGTTATAATGGAACATGGCCAGTAAATAAATAATTAGTAGTCGCATTATCTTTCTGATATCTTAAAATGAAATGCAAACGGTTCCATTGGTCACTTTTACTTTGAACGTAGATACTTTCGCCCCCAATGCTTCTGAGTTTCATACCCCTTAATAATAACACTTGATATAAGCAGTTTTACTTCCGTAAAGCATCGCCATTGGTTATAGGCGTTCAGGTTATCAATTTGTAAAGGATTTAGTGCACGTCTATTTGAGAATAAACCTATTTATTTAAAGTGGCTATTTCTATTCATCTTCAATAGAAGGATTTATTTGAAGTTTTGCGTTTTACAACGCTGCTGCCCACATTTCCTTTAGGTGGCCCACTTATTATTCGCAGAATTTCACGTGAAGGATCTCCACGAATGTTGTTCCTCTATTAAACCAATCTCTGGTGGATCCATATAGGACCCATGACGCTCACTGAAACAAAATAAAATGTTTGCTACTGCTGACATCGTCACGTTGTTCATATTTCGGATATCACCGCCACATTTTCCAGACAAGCAATGTTTATTTGGATTTGTATAGACATTTCCAGAGGTTAAATTTTTTGTTGTTAAATTACAAATTACAAAACAGTTCATTATAGTTTTTTGTGAGTTTCTTAGTTATTGGGAAGTTTTGAATTGAAAAGTTAAACGATTTATCTTGTTTGTCTAAATTGGCATTTTTCTCGAAAAGTAGGTAAATATCAGAGCGAAAACTGTTAATCACAAAAAATATGTGTGTTTATGAGATCGGGTGGAAAATAAAGGCGCTAGAGGGCATTTTCTATGACCAAAGATAATTGCAATGACTATTAAAAGTCGGCAAGTCCCAAGTGAGGAGTTTACCTGAGGTTTCCTAGTAGATAGTGCAATGGAAAACAAGCACACTATAGATAATGAAATCCTTTCATCTAAAATTAATGATTTTGTATAGAGAAAGAAACTAAATTTGTGTAGAAAATATAAAATTATTAATTATTAGTTGGCGCTGATGTAACACCATCATCTAGAAATAAATTGTTACGTACATCTTAATGGTCTCGTTTTACGTTTAGGTCGACAGATTCATTGCGGGATTCAAGTTATCAAGGAACCTTAAGTTTCTTCTAGTCCACTAGAAAAACATAGATGAGGGGTTTGAAAGTGTATTAAAAAGTTCTCAGCCAAAAAACTGTAATCAAAGCTCGAACCCGCATTCCTCGAAAAGCAATAAAATAAAACAATTCAGCAATAACAAACTCAAAAGCTTTACGTTCCCGTGCGAAATGATGACGGGTGAAAGTGAAAGGGTTCCCTTGACTTTGACTTTTTATTCCTACAGTGCAGATTTTCATTACGCTTCCATTCGGCATTTTACTGTCTCCAAAAATTTATTTTCTTTTGACAATATTCGCAAAAAGCTCGCCAATTTTATACCTGGATACAATATAAAACTTGACTATGCGAATACCTGAGTAAAGTTTATTGGTTTAATAAAATTAATATGGAAATTTATTCATTAAATCGCCCCTTCTTGTCCCTTGGAAGGGTTTAGGGTGCTTACGCCGCGGTACTGAAAAGTGTCGTAATCCACCTGCGGGTTTAAACAACCAAAACTGATTTTATTCTTTAAAAGAGAAATTTTATAATTAAATTGGAAAAGTTCCGGTATGATAAGACCTGTTAAACGGATTATTTTTTTGAGTATTATACCTACACCACATATAAACAGGAAAGTCTTTGATTATACTGCATTATCGCAGCATTGGAAAGCGTTCAAGCGCTGTTTGATTGGTTTCTGGAACAATAATTTCAGTTTGAATTGCATTGACTAAAACTAGTCACTAGTCCTCTGGTATTATCACGTATTTCACGTCAGGATTCATAAAAGCAAATACATTTTTTTCGGCAATTGCCTTCGACGGGCGGTTTATGGAAGCATATTTATGGCCTCTTCTTTCTTACAAATGATGTATGTCGCCTCACACACCTACCATAAAATGTAGTAACTGTAGTTTATTTGATACAAAATTGTCTTGTAGTAAGTGAGGGCGTTGTGGATACTAATTAATAACATTCGTTAAGAAGCAATAGCAGTCTGTGATGCTATTCGGGTTCATTCCGTCGTCAACTTTTACAAAATAATGTCGTTTAGTGGTTAGTGGATTCAAACGATCACATTCCCTAGTAGAAGCCTGTACTTTAAATCATGGTTTTTATTGCGTGATTAAAGGTCTTTTTATATCTCCCATATGGACAATGTCATTTGCTAACTAAAACGAAAAAATTTCGTAACAAAATATTGTTTCCTAAATTAATAGTTTATTGTCATGTTCATTACGAGCTTTTGACTTAAAATCACTATAGTTTTCTTGACTGAATCGCTGAAATTTTAAAGTAAGTATGGCTGTATGACCGAATCATTGTAGCAAACGACACATATAAACATTTGCAATAAACACGAAGGTATCATTAACAAGATATAATCTAACGGAAAATCGATTAAGAAACGCTAACCTAATCGATACATGTCCGACAAGCAATGCATTTGTTAGTAATAGCCAAGTTCCCTAAATTTTATCTTATATAAGGTGTGCAATTACTCAAGTAACAATTTCCTTTTGTTTCAGCTATACAACTTCTTCAATGCACTTCTAACACACATTCCTACAACTACTCGATCAACTAGCTCGGCCGCAACCTCGAAAAGTTCGTCGATCGGTAAGTTTTTATAAAAAAAAATCCGGGTGTTCTTTGAGGATTCCTTTTTGTTGACTCGCTGTTTTCGTCAATTTGTAAAACTTCAAACGCGTTTCATTTTAACGAATATCCTTCAAAGTTCTTTCATTTAGAATGGATTTAATATAACGAACTGTAAACAAGAAGGACCTTTATCTTGTGCACTAAACGTATCACTCGCGATCTCACTTTGTATAATTTCGCAGACTCCCTAAACTTTCGCTTCGAAGACGAATCGGATGAAGTGGAAGAGGAAGGCATGCAACACGTCGAGAGAAAGTATAGAGGAATTCACATTAATTTTCCAATGAAACGCTCAGATTTAGACGCCCTTATTGACGCGTTTAGAAAAAGAAAGGTACGTCTGTATTTTTATTTGATAGAAGGGAAACATGATGAGGGCGACCTTTGCTCGTTTAAACTTTGTGATATTTCCAATCATTACCCTTAAGGTTTAACATTTACGGAGGGTTATTTGCTATCGGTACAAACAGCAAGTTTGCATTTCTCCCACAAGATTCCTTAATTCCGATTTATAATTGGACATTTCTCCAGGAGATTGTGCCGCGTCACAAATATCGTAAACATAAATCACGGGCGTTGATGGCATTTTGAAAGTGAATTTATTAGAAGCTTACATATTAAATAGGATTATTAAAACAACCTAAATACTTGTAAGTCCTCTCATTAAAATGTATAACGTAGCTCTCACGTCTCCCTTGCCCACAGATTTTCATAACCGGGCCGTTATCGCCGTTTAACTTAGGTTTAGACAATAAAAGCTTCATCCCAAGCGTCGTCTAAAGCTAAACCACCACAATTTGTTTCCGTTTTTTTACGCGTGGATTTGCAAGTTGAGGAAGTCATTTTAGAGGAAATTACCATCAAGCTCTTAATATACGATAACCAATTAAATTGCCGGGTCAACCTCGCGTAAATTAATTTCCGTTAACATCCTCAAAAATTTATCTCCGTCGATTAGTCACGATTACTTCCGAATGTCGTTTTCCTTATAGCTTAATTTCGGACAGTTTTCAACGAGTATCAGCCCTCAGTTCCATCACATTCACATATAGGCTTATACTCTTTCTATACTCTTCCACTCAACGAAAAGTTTTGTTAAACATGCCATGACCTTATGGCCCGTAGAGTAAAATTTGAGCATCTCAATTTGATAAAGTAATTAAGCAGTATTCTACTGGGCACGATGACGTGTCATAATTTATATTTGTGAAGCAAGTAGGACCCTTGGTAGTAAGTTTGCATGTCATTATTTTAGCGTAATTTTAAAAAGGTTTTTAGCAACAACATTAAACAATTTTTGTTGTCAAAGGCGTTCTATTCCCAAAATGAATATTTTAATTTCAAATTCGCCGAAAAAATTTAAATTTATGTATTAGTTTAGATCTCGGTTTAGATTTTTGTGTAATTTTTCTTTTGACGATTGTATGTAACTTTTTTCGGTTACTTAAACATAATAAAAGTTATTATTATTATTATTATTATTATTATGTAAAAAGGTAGGTAGCTTTTAATCTCACTTTGGCCGGCTGGCTGACTGGCTGGCAGCAAAAGACGAGGAGAGTACGTGTACCTATATTCCTATATTCATCTACAGTTTTGGCCCGAGTACTTTCATATTGGTGTCGCCGGAAAGATTGTAATTGCGCACAACTCATTTCTTTCGCTGACTAAGAGCCCAACAGAATTAGCTGAAAAAAGAGCAGCTATAAGAGTTAATTCTGGGAAAGATATACATTGCATTATTGATATTATTTCACATCCAGGCAAAGGAGTTTTGTTAAGTTTGATTCATGAACTGCAGTCGTGACCAAGAAAAATATTATATAGATAATTATTCAGGATTTTCGCATAAAACTCAGAACCTGTCCATTCTATAAAAAAAAATGTGTTAATAATAAAAATAATAATAAAGTTTGGGCATAGGCCATTGAAACTCCGTTTCAGAGAGCCATGATCTGCAGAGTGACTGCAGAATTAAAAGAGGACCAAACTGCGGTTCGGGTCCTTATATGCTCCCACTAAAAATTATATATCTACTCAAGAAATAGAGAAGGAAACGCCGGAGATGGGAAAAAAGGCCAACAAGGGAATAATGAAAAACGAAAGATACGAGTTATACTTATTGTCGGAGACTAGTATAACAGAATGGTATGAAAAGCGACTACACAGGGAATTGTATTTACAGAAGAAAAGGACGTGGAAAAGGAGTATGAGAACATCCAAAGAGCAGTAAGGAACGCAGCACATCAATCATTAGTTGCAATCGAAGAAAATAATCGGAACCACAAATCATTTTGGAAAACGGAGGAAGTGGAATAACACATATCCGAAAAAAAGATATCCTACAATAAATGGTTAACCAAAAGAACGGCACAAAGCAGAGATTTATATAAGAGAAGCAACAAAATGCTAATGAAGGAAATTAAAGATGAGAAGAATGAGTATTGGAAGAGGAAATGTAACCAAATTGAAAGTATGATCGGAAGAGCTAGGTCCACAGAAGTATGGATAGTAATAAAAAGCATGAAGAATGATAAGCGGAGAAGCGGTAGACAATAATACCCTTAGATGAATGGAAAATACACTACCGTGCAATGAGAATAGAGATCAATTCAGACAATAGATTCCCTATCAGAAACAGAACGTAATAGAGCTCGGAAGATAAAGTGGAAATAACAGAACACGAAATTATAAAGCATTTAGATAGTATAAAGAACGGTCGATCTGCAGGTCGATCACGAACATTCAGGCCCTATTTTCTTCATTGTCGATTTGTAAACCTGGATAATCTTACTGCCTTCGCAAGTAAGTTCCAATTCTGCCGTCTTTGCATAAATATAAGGCACCGATTGGCGTCGAAGAAGCGTCCCTCTGCGTAGCAAAAAAAAGACAAGTCTAAATTGCAATCTATTAAAAGTATTATTAAAGTTACCTTGAGATTGTAGGCGTCGTTTCCAACTCTTTCTGTTTTTGGGCACATAAGAGGCAGCGTTTGGCATCAAAGAAGCTTCCTGGGTTGGGATGGGATTTACCTATATCGCAATCCAACACACATTTAGTAATGGGGTACGTAAGTTTGAATTAATTGGGCTCTGATTTTGGCATTGTAGTTTTTGGATGTAACGTTTGTGTAACGAGCATTAACCAGTTCTATTGATGAAGTATTGTTTTTATACCCACCAGTGCTCGAAGCTTATATTTTTGTTTTATTTTTGGTTTCTAAGTTTTGTTTAGTTTTTGGTGTGACTTGTGCACGCCTGTCGCCCCAAATGATACAAGGTAGGGGTCTGTTTCACTGGAAGACCCGTTTTCCCCGCTAGCTGTGGCCAATTCTTACCCACACATATCAGTGTACATTCCCAAACATTGATTTAACGCGGAAAAAGGATGGAATCTTCTCGAAGCAATTGTGAACTTATTCTTCTTCAGAATTTAATAAACCGATCCGGCAGAAACACTAGCTGCAACCGTTGGAATTGTTGACGTAGGATTTGCAGCAAAGTAATTGACCTTCATTTCGCAAATTTCAACCAAAATCCTCGACTGTATAACTTTTTTTATTACACACTGATCCCGTGTTCTTAAACTTGCACGCCAACTGCATGACATACGTACCTAGTCTTAGATTATTATGGGGATGAGTTTGACTGAATTCTGAAGTGTATTGTAATTTTAAAATGGGGAGCAGCTGGAGGGTGGGACAGTGGATTCTAAAACTAAGATAAACTTTCTATTATACCTCCTTCTAGCTATTAAATTGCAATTTATACCTCCTTCTAGCTATTCAATTGCAATTGTTTTTATAAAAATTGCAAATTACAATCGGTGGTTCATATTGAACACTGTATGCAATGCGTTCTCATATTTAAAAAGAAATCGAGCAATTCCAAAAATTGGTCCAATTCTCTTCTTTTAAATTGAAGATGCTTTGTAAAAATTTTGAGGAAAAAAGAGAAACTAATCTATTTAAGCTCGACTTTCCCAGTAGATGGTATTATTAGAATGATTTTTTTAAATATAAAATCGGTAGTGAAAGAATCGTACAATTTCAAATGTCCAACTTTGCGCTATAATTCATAAACTAAACAATAAAGGATAAAGAGAAAAATATAATCTGAAGTATGATTCTATTAGAAATGACTCCTATTTCTTTTATTCGATCACGTTAAAAATGAAATATCTTTGATAAAACGGATTTTTTCAACCGGGCACACTTGACCGAATTCCTTTTTTACCACCGCCAACAGATATGTCTCGTCCACAACTTCCGTTTCTCCTTTGTGGGTTTTCATTTGTTTTTATATCATTTTCCGATACACATATTCGAAGGATCGAGGAATTATGAGCTATCTGGCTTCTAGACGAACGTGGGACTTGTACAAAAGCAATTCCTTCCGGCGAGGCATTTCGTGTGTAAAGCAAACATTTTGGTGAGGGATATTAAGAGTGTAAACAAATTGAATTCTCAAAATAGCAGTTATTTAATAAAGCAAATTTTTCATAGCTTTTTATCTTTTGAAAGGAAGTTTACTTATACCGAAGCTGTTTTTAATATGAGACGCCTACGAAGTTTTGGAAAAAAGACAGCAGTGCCTTCAAAATGGTGTTGTTCAAAAGTGGTTACCGAAATCATGATGGCGAAGTGCATGAAGTTAGCTGTTTTTCATAGAACTACTTCCATTTAAGTAGAAGTCAAGTCGCATAAATTTAGTAAATGCTTCTAATAAAAAAGTTGCACAAAATTATGTATACTTGCAGCAGATGGATCCTTTTAATGGTAGAACCATTATTCATCTTCTCATGCGTTACCTATGTAAGTTACATTAGATAGACACGTTACTTTCATTTTGTGCGACGGCTAATATTAGAATTTACCCCCTTCAGCATAGATTGTATAACCAAGGGATAATGGATTTTAGTAAAAGAGAATTTAGTTCTTCCAATACCGACGTCCTCACTATTTTCCTCCATGGTTGATCACGCGACATGTGAAAAATAGGAGGGTAAAAGCTTTTTAAAAGAAACTGTTACAAAAGCAAATATATTAGGGACCATATCCATTACACTATTCATATTTCTTAAATGTAAAATTTTTGAAACACGTTTTCTATGTCTGAGCGTGTATCCCTTGACGGCGAGTGGCACATTTTAATTTTCCACGTCAACTGCATGAATTCCATTATACGACTACACGGTTACGTAGTGGTTGTGAGGAAACGATTTTAATTCGAAGGTTTCATTCGAAATGCTTTTTTTCAACTTTCAACTTTTCTTAATTTACTTTCTATGGACGCGCCTGAACAAAATAGAAACACTGTAAGAGCGTATTGGGCCATAAAAACCAACATAGTATTAAGTTATTGCGATCGCCTTTTCATGTGCACTTAAATAAAACTGTTCCATACTTTTTCAGCAACATCGATTACACGCTCGTTACGTGGCTGGAATTCTACGAGAATCGATAACACAGTTGAAAAGGTTACCAAATTTGAACCAAGCGTCGACTGCCATATCAAAGCAAGTTACGATCTGCGGCGATTTGCACGGAAAGCTGGACGATTTACTCGTTGTCTTTCACAAGGTAAGCGTTTTTATGGACATTAGATTGCGTGTTTTCGTGGTTGTACCTTTTACTTTATCACACTGTTCGACACGCACAAGATTATAGATGAGTTCAAGCTATGTGGCATGCCCACAATGAGAATTTTGACAGTCTATTATTCATTCTTGGAGGGATGTATGGAGTTTTGATTGAATTGCTGATCGAAAAACCCTTTTTCCAAAATGGCTTGGCGTTATGGAATACATTAGTATAGGATTGGTTATTACCGTTTCATTATTAGCAATAGAAATTCCAATAGCGTTGACCCCATTGGCAATACACATGTAGGTTGCAACTTAAAAATTGTTGGTAATCAACTTTTTAACAAAAGGCTAGGGTAGATAATAACCGGTAACATCGCACAACAGCAATTTAAAAGGTTTATTGCCTCCGCAAACGGTGAAGATAAATAATTCCAGAAAGAAAATTTCAGGAAAGTAACAAAAGAGAATAAATCGGAATTCGTTAATGATGTACTCAATATTTCATAGACTCACTTGTATAAATGTGTATTGTTCGTAGTAAAAGAATAAAACTAGAAATTAGTTCAAGTGCGTCGTTAAATTAATCATATATAATTGAACCTAAGTGTGAACCATATATGAAGTGGAAATCAATAGTGAAATGTGCAATCGTTACTTTTAATCTGCCGACGGGTTAGCAGTTCAATTATACCTATGCCATCAAAAGAGAAGTTATTAACAAGGAAACAATTACTATAAATGTAACACGAAAATGAAACTAATCACTGAAAGAAAATCGCTAAAAGATAGGAACATTTAAGTAAAGCAAATGTTAATTGAAATGCAATATAAAACAAGAGAAATGGTGCAACCAAAGATATCGGCACAATTACATAAGTAAGTGGAAAACATGGCCTACCTGGTGACATGAAAGTTACAAAATAAATGCTCAATCACAAGACTTTAATGTGGACTTAAAAGAATTTGTGTATTATGATGTGCATTACATCTTTTAAATAAATATTAGCGTGGTCTTCTCTCATAGTTCTTGATTATTAACTAGCAGTCCCGGCGAACTTCGTACCGTTTTTGGGAAATCTCTTTTTTCCTGTTCCCGTTCCTGTGGGAATTTTGGAACTGTTTTACTAACTCAGACACTTTAGCGTGCTTGCGTCCAACCATTCCCCCCCAAAGTTTCATCGCATTCGGATAAACAGTTTAGACAGGCATAAGCTGGCTTTTATTATATACATTTGGAAACTACACTCTTGGGCTATTTATCAACACAGCGCCATTCAAATTGAGGCACTTGTCATAGCGTGGCACAAGTGATTCCAACCTTGTATACATCCGTCGCCTAAGATTTTAACTTGCACTGACATGAAGTTCGGCGTCCCTATCGAACCGCTGCATTGCGAGCCCGGTCTTCAAGGCTGGGAAGAGGTGGAAGTTTTGTTTTTCGATGAAAACAGCCGCCCGTACAGTGTCAACCGTACTGGATAGCTTTTGGATGGGATATTTTTATAGCTCGGATCTAGCGCCAGGCGACTTCCACCTTTTTCCAGCGATCAAGACCTCACTCGCAACACAGCACAGTGATGCCAAACTTCAATCCGGCGTTAACGAGTGGTTAATGTCTCAGGCGGCAGATTTGTACAAAGTTGGAATCAAAAACACTTGTACCACGCTATGATAAGTGCCCCAAATGAATGGCAACTATGTTGAAAAATAAGCTAAGGTTGTAGCTTCCAAATGTATATAATAAAAGTTGTTTCTTACACTTTCTTAATTTTTTATTTCAAAACGTCTGATACTTTCTGGATAACCCTCGTACAATACAGAAAAGATACGGTTCAACCGCTCTCTGAATTGTAATTGTCTAATTAAGTAGAACGTGGGAATTTATTTTTGATTAATGGTCAGTGTGCGATATTTTCAGTCAAATTAAATATCTACGTTCGTAAGCGAATCGGCTGAAGTTTTTCCTTTGGGAGCAAATATTGGCATATATCACGATTATCCACGCGGTGGTGCTTCCGTACATTTGTGTTCGCAACACTTTTATCTGAACATTTTTTATCCAAATTGCTATCGTGTACGCAAAAATGTATGGCCTGTTTTTTTTATTGAATCGTCGCTTTTGTACAATAGAGTTGCTATCGTAGGAATTCTGAAATAAAGGAAATTTATTATACTGACAAGACCACATAATGGAGAATGCTAAACAGCTGAAATTGCCAAACTGAGAACGTTGTTAGGTAGCAATATTTACGATTGTTTTTCAACATAAGGCAAATACGTCTCGTATAAACGTAAGCATTAGGTTTCCTTTTAGATTGTAATGCAACCATTTAAGATGGGTTTAAATTGTTGGCGGAAAATAATTTTTGACTTCAATCAGGAATTACGAACGCACTAATCGATATGTTTTGTTGTAGTTAATCCATGGTAGTAGTGTTTATAGTAAGTTCATTCATAAACGATCCTCTCTTTCTGATTCCTATACTGAGAATTTCAGGAAAAACGAGGCTCTTTAGCTATGCTTATTAAAATAAATGAAGAAACTTTATGAAGCAACTTATTAAATTGAGGAACATTTTTTGTTTTAGCTCCAATATTAGAAGGATACCTACCTTATTATTAGAATGTATAGAACCTTCGGGCATGGACATACAAGATATTGCGCTTGGATAGTTGTAAAGTTCACTGTTCGGATTTAATAAATTTAGATTTTAGAAGCAGCGGAAATTAAAAAAGATTTAGCTCGCACGAATTTGTTGTTGAGGTTAGGAGAATAAGATCAAAAACAATTACATCTAAAAGAAGGGATTTCTGAAAACTACCGAAAATGCAATGTATTCGCAAATTGACGATATGAGACGCTTCAGCGGAAATTAGTATTCAGCTTTCAATTGCAGCAATATTAAAACTTGTATTTATGGGAAAACTCGCGACGAAGATACTCCTTGTGGAAGCCAGGTTAAATCGTAAACCATCTTAACACACACAGAGTGCGGCATAAGTCCCGGAACCGTCGAGTATCTCGGCTGTCTAATTTTTTGCTATTCTAATCTGAAAAAAAATCGGTTTACAGAAAACCGAAATATTCGACCGTTCCGGGATTTACGGTACACTCTACATAAGGATTGACCTGAACGCAAAAAAGTGAATCAAATGCTGAATCTGAATAAAAGTGGGTACGATAGAATATTAGTGACCCTGTAATTCCATTGAATTATGGAAAGCATTTGGATTGTATGATGGAATATCACATTTCCACCCACATTTTCATTAGTAATAGTGGTTCAAGGCTTTACTTTTAATAAACTTCCCTAAAGCTAAAATATAAGATTTACACTTTCGTTTTTTTCTATTGTCGAAGGGTGCATTGCTTCACAGCTACAGTACTGGTTCTTTAACTTGGTTTTGGAAATTTTTTAACATTATAATTGCGTATTCAAATTTAATTTTTGAAAATGCAAAGTTTCGTTCGAACCACAGATACGTCAACAAAAGAATTCTTTTCTTTTCCTTTTTTTAGAGGTGCAGTATCTTGGGATAGAAATTTTGGGGTAAATAGTTTATTAAACAAACAATAGGCAAACTTAAAAATCAACGTAAGATAGTTGATTCTTCCTTATGTGTGTTAACGTTGGTGCACAATATTAAGAAAAGTGCCCACATTTTGGGATTTTTGGATCGCTTCTAAGTATAATTAATGATAAAGCCCCTAGATAAAGTACGCACTTAATGCGCCACATGAGTGCGAGAGAACGCGGGATTTTGGGAGTAGTTTGGTTACTTTCTATTGGCAAAAATGACGGATACTAACGACAGGTGTACCACCATGAGCATCGAAATCTCTAACGTCGTTTAACGCAGTGCATTGTTCATTTATAAGTTTTACCAACTTTTTAGTTCCCAAGATGTCGTGTTTAACTTTATTATTGCAATTGGTTCGTACATTACATTGGCAATTCTTAATAATTCTAAAATAAATTGACTTGCAGGAAAAAGTAATTACTACTTACTATACTACAGTTGGGTCACAAACGTGAGGTAAATGTTACGTACAATATAGGATTCGTGTACTGTTTATTACATGAGCAGCGAGCAATAAATTTCTACCTCTCCATAAATCAGTTTCCAATAAAGTTTCCTAACACGCGAAATTTTCGAAGGAAGAGCAAACTTAACTTCATTTTCAACTTTGACATTTCATTCTCTTATTCTGGATGGCCCCTCGCAAAATTTAAATGACACATATTTTTCCCGAACGTTTTATCGGTAGCTGAAAATTATAATAAGATACAAAGGTCAATGAAATTTAGGCTTGAGATAATTTTTGATGTGGGTTTAAAATATACTATAGTTTGTTATTGTACTTCTTCAGTTACGTCTCCTCGATATTACAATTAACTAAAAAAACGTTCGTGGTCTCAAATACACGCGCAGATATTAACTTTTTTTTGTCATAAAAATACTCTAAGACATTCGTGTCTACTACGAACCTCTCGTGATTCTAGTCCACCACTAAGCAAAACCGCAATGAGATAAATTAATTACACTTCGCAATTTTAGAGCAATTAAGGAGCCCACAAATTTAACCCTTCTTAACCCTACCCTACTTATGCTTGTTCTAACAAAACAGGCTTATTTACGACCCATTAAAGTTCTTTTGTTCTTTAACGTTTATACTCCTTCAAGTTAAGTTATTTATATTTTGTTAGCAAAATATCAATATGAAATTCGTAGAGAGAACGAACAAGCAACTCTCGCGATGGCGATTACTTTCCACCAAACTGTAATTGTACCGTACATTTGCAACGAAATCCACGTATCACGAAACCTGGCAATGGCATAACGAATATAGAACTATAATGCAACGCTGCTGTGTACCTATTGATAAGGTAGGAGATGATGTGCCTGAACGATTTAACACAAATTGAGGCTTTACGCTGTGGTCTTGCTTCATTTTAACGAGAAAATTTTGAATTACGAAAGCTTTCATGCGAAAGAAGGCTTTAAGAATGTAAGGATGTTTACATTTGAACACATATCCGAGGAATAGTAATTTATTCCTAATTTCTCGCGGCGTGGTTGCATCTGGATGAGTTATGTTAAAAATTAAAAGTCAATAATCATTTGTTGACTAAATGCTTATGATAGGTATAGAGGCTTTTCTATAGTTAGTTTTAATATAATCTGGACTAAACCTGCGTTTTGTATTAATGTATGTACGACCAATCAGCTTGGTGATTGTTTCAAATTCTAACCAATCAGATGATTTTTGATCTGATTAAAGGCTAGATAGCTTTTTATCAGCGATTAAACGCTATGTTGGGTTTTTTCAGCATAAAATATATAGGTAGTGGTTGCGAAATATACTGTCTTTTATTAATCTCCGTAAAATACACCCTATCTTGGTCTTAAATCAGGATAATTTTATTTTTAATTCACTCAAATTTTGTTGCTTCCTGGAAAAAACTCTCGATCAAAAGCACATGATAAAATCGCTCCAGCTAAAGCTGACGCGATTTTATCACACTTTTGATCTCTAGATTTTTCAGTTGCAACCAAACTTTCGTGTAAAAATAAAATTATCCCATTAAAAATCAAGCCCTTGTGTATTTACCCCCGATTATATTACAATGCAGTATGCAGTTAACGTTGTTCCTGAAATAGCTCAATTTCTGACTTTTTTCAAGAGTACCTATATGAAATAAATGTGCCGAAAAGCAACCTTAGAACTTTATTTTTGTGTGTGTCTATATTGTACATACGTATTATCGAGCGTATTATCACGAATGACATTACGATGCCTATTGTCACAAATAGCTGAAGAGAATAACTTACGAAGACAATACTACACTAACGTGTGCTTCTGTTATCTGAAAGATTATGACAAAGTACTTAGGTACCGCGACATTTATAACAAAATGATTGAGAGTCTCTAGCAGATTAAGTTATCACATTTTCGTAAAGCGCAACCCACTTTAGTCACGTTGAGTACAGAAGCGTTTGGAGATTTCTCTTTTATGTGTGCCGTTAACATGTTTGCCCTCAATTTTATAATCCTTAGAAGCTTTTTAAGGATTTACATCGACAATGTTCTTCAAAATCAATTACTTGAGTGCGAAAGTGTCGCTAGAAGTTACTTACGCTTTACCATTTTGAAGTTATATTAGATTACTTGGAGTTCCGATACAACAAAGCACTATAAGAACTTCAAGAAAACGAGCAATAATTACTTTAACGCAAAAAAGATTGTGGTGGGATTCAGTAACCAGTTTCTCCTCATTCAATTAATAACTTTAACACTTAATTACACCCACAATAATTGGTATCTGAAATTACTCATGCATACTAAATTAAACGTTAACCGAAAAAATCGCTATGGAGACAACTAATACGAATTACTTTCATTCGATGAAAGCGGAACAAAAGTCCAGTGTATTCACTTGGATAGCACATCCATAAATAATAAATTTGTGCTAGTCGTAGAACCTACCACGTAGCTCTCATTCATGTTAGTGTCTATCAAATTAACATTGAAAGCTTTTTACAATTAGCGATCCACGATCCACCTAAAACATCAGCAGTTTCATTGTATTTTATTTGAATGACACCATTTCTGGTTGTATAGAATAAAAATGCAATCACTCAACACCAGACCGTGTTGTCATAAGCAAAGTATCAGGGCCCTTGCACAAGGACCACTTGTATCCAGGGCAAGTAAGTGCGCCTTTAAAGTGTTTTCTATATTGGTGACGTTACTGTGTTACTAAATGTGTAATTATTGGTAATTGATTGTTGTTAAATGTTAAATGAACAAACAGCTCTAGCAGGCATTTTTGTTATTCATAATTAATTACGGTTAATTTGCACATAGGTATATAATTAAAGTTGGTTTTTCCTTTAGTGGCTCACATTTTTTTTGCATTTTTTTTTGCTACATTTCGTACAAGATAAAGACTTAATTATAGTATGTTCCAGAATTAGAGAGAGTAATAGATCACCTGGGTACGAAAGGGCATGACTGTTTTTACATAGAAGCGGACAACAAATATTTGCCACTAAACAACATAGGAAGTGTACCAATATAGGTAGATTACAGTTTATTAATTACCTTATATTGGATTGTGTTCCTTCGCATTAAGCCGCAAACATTTGTTCCTTCGCGCCGGATTGTGCTTCGATATCATTTGTCATTAAATTGATTAAACAATTTTCTATAATATTTGCAGGTATTAGTCTAATTCCGCCCCACAGTTTATCTCTTTTAATGCGTATCACAGCTGCAGTTAAGTCATATGTTCACGTTTAAAATATTCGATTGTGAATGTTGTTTAGGTATCGCTTACGCTACATAATTAATAACCCTTTTATCGAAATCATTGTTGTTTTTCTAAAAATATGGCTACTTTCAATTATCAATTATTAGCTGATAATCGTGATATTTTGAAAAGAATTTTTAAACAAATTCTGAAACTCGAGGCATTTTTCAATGAAAAGATGTTTTTCAAAAGGACTTCTAAGCAGATGTTCACACTTTTTTTCATGATATCGATTTCTATTTTTGTTATCCTCTCATGAGCTTTTTGTGAAACCCTCAAATACTGAATGCGTCAAAGTCAATAAAGAAAGTAACTCATTAGGTGGTAACGTTGTTTTTACTTTTTCTTTTGGGCTATCGATTTCGGCAAATAGTTATGCCATCATCAGGCCGTGTGCCATGAGACATAAAACGTAGGTAGTCAATATGAACATGAAGTTTATACTACATAACGATGGAAAAGGAAATATCGGTTAAAAATAGGATGAAACGAACTATAACGTTCCATTATGGAGAAATTCCTCGCACATATAGTCAAAGTCACTAAAAATGTTGACTTCCTAGATTAATATGGTATAACTTTTATAGATCACGCTAGTGGCAAATCAAATTGATTCAATAATATTATCTCACTATCTCTTTGGAAAACACAAGGGCCGTTCAATTGTTTGTAAAAACACCAACGCCATAACAGACATTTTGTTAATTAATGACTTCGATAGCGTTGCGGGGTTCATTAAAAAAACTGATATTTACAACAGGATCAACTCTGGACAATTTAGAGGGCCTTGCTCGTCGCTGTACAAAAAAAAATCAACGACATTAACGGCTAACTACCCTTGCACATGATTATCAACGCTGTCGAACGTCTTCGGCACTCTGTCCCTAATTTAATTTGATCAAAATACATAATAAGCTTAAATTTATCGTCACTGTTTTCTCTGTTACAGAATGGATTGCCTTCTCCGGAAAACCCGTACGTTTTCAATGGAGATTTCGTCGACAGAGGTAAAAAGGGCCTGGAGGTGCTTCTGCTTCTGCTTGCTTGCATGTTAGTATTTCCTGGAGGGGTTTTTCTAAACCGGGGGAATCACGAGGATCATATTATGAATTCGAGGTAAATTGCATTGCACGAACGTCGCGAGAATGTAATTCCTTTAATTATAGGTATGGATTTGTGAGGGAAGTGCAGGCGAAATATAAGGTGAGCTTTAACATGTGTATGCCCTATTTCCGCAGTACGTGAGTAATCTTGTAATGCATCATCACAGTACGTTTCGACTATTTTACAAGCGTCTTTACTGATCGATGCTTGTTTGGCACGTGACCGTTTGCCATTTCAACCCTTATTTCCTTGTTGCGGTTTGTATTTTAACTCGTTAGCCGCTGATGAAACGAAATAATATCAATTATTTTATCGGAAATTTGTGGAACCTATCCTAAGTAACTAATTAATAACGTAAACCTGCTCGGACGTTGGGGAAGATTGGCTACGGATTGGAATTATTATCTAAGTTTAGGCCATATTCAGCTACATCAATACAAAAGAACCATACACATTCTTCACCTTTTCTTTTTTCAAACGCGTCCGGCGACGTCAGGTGTGTGAGTTTAATAAAGTGTAAAAGCGTGTGTGGTTTTGTATTTAATTTTCCAAAAGCTCGTGAAATTTTAAATTTTATTCTACTTGACTAGCACAAAATTAAATAAAATTCGATACGAAACACCTTCTCAATAATATAATACGGTTTGATATTTCAGGTTACGAAAGCTAATGTAGCAGACATTCCGATTGTCCATTCTATGAACACAAAACTGTAAGAGTCCTCACGAACGAGGTTTAGATCGATCGTGCCATATTAGCACCTACACCATTGAGTGGCAATTTTCCACTCTCGAAGCACGTCTAAATTCTTTTTTATTTTAGAAAAGAAAATCCACAAGTTTATAGCTTTTCACACGCCCGTAAACAGATTATGGACAACCGCAGTCTATAAAATAAAGGATACAAAATTATGTAAAGAACTGAGTGAAAAACTTCCAAACAACCGTACTAATCACACGCATCTAAGTGTATTTAAAATGAATTTAGGCATTTCCCTGAAGAAAGAAAGGAAAGAAACGCCTGACTCATTTCAAAGGTCTCAGTCTCGGCTCTGTTATAATTTTCAGTGTAAATTACTGTTCTTCGGTTAATTGAGCAATACTATACCCCCCACGTATTTCTCAAGCTTCCCAAATCGCAAACGTAGAACGGTGGAACTAATGACAAAACGGAAAACAATTATGAAAATGGAATTTTCCGTCGAGAACGATTGACGATAGTAAAATAACGCTTTGCGAAAAATACCCTCGTAAAAGGCTCAGTCTGCCGCCTTTCTTTTATAAACACTTTTGGTGTTGAGAAAGTGATTGTTAATGTAATGGTGTTATCTTCCCTTATTGAGCGCAGTATTTTGTTTGCTCGTTTTCAATAATAAGAGCTCTTTTCTAGTTATTTCGCATTCATTCTTTGTTCATTGTGGCGTTATTTTAACAACCTGAGAGATAATGGTACCATAAATATACAAGGCAAATTGCGTTTCTGTTGGCAATTGATCGTACCGTTTAACTGTAAGTGCGACGCATTCGCCCAGTTCAAGTAGGTAATTCGGAAATAACACCGATTTTACGTTTAACAAGACTGTTTTCAACTATTAAGCACAGGTCTTATTTAGTCAATCAGTGTATGAAAAAGCAGTTCAATATAATAGAAAACAAATGGAAACGTTATTAATGTATTATACCTAGACAAGAAAGAAACAGGTTAATGATACGGAAAATATCAATATGAAAAGCAATGGAATTGCTGTTTTTATTTCAGGAAACAAATGAGTAACGACAAATAATTGAATTTTTAAAATGACAGTGCATTTGGCTCATTTGATAGAGGTTTATTTCTCTTTTCGATGATATAACATATTAGTACCCTTATTCAAGAAAATGAAAAAAAATTATTATAATTAGATCAATAAAATTAATCCAGATATCCTACATCAAAATAAAACAAATGAACGTCTACGTTTCTTATTAAACCTTGAAGACAAAACGAAATTAGCAGTAAAATTGTTTTCATCGCAATGAATGTTCAAAATGTTCACCAAGGCAGTGGCATTCTCTATCACAAAAAGTTTGAAATAAAAGTTAATTTCTTCTACACGTGTTACGTCATTGAAAAGAGAAAAAAATCGCTATCAAATGAGCCTATTAAAAGTATGCATTGATATTTTAAAAAATTCAATTGTTTTTCGTTATTCATTGTTTTCTGAAATAAAAACAATGGAATGCTTCTGCCTTATTATGGGAAATAAAATGTTAAACAACTTTCACATAGAAAAATTTTTTATACAGTCGTATTCACTGAGATATATACCATATTCCATACATAATGGGCCCTCAGTATAATCCCAGACTAGAAATTATGACGCGATCGTCCTGTCTGACCACCATGTTGATGCACAAAAGTGAGGATTTTCCGCACAATATCCGCACAAAATGAGCACAAATCGAGACTTGAATACAGAGGAACAATTTAATTATTTAATGCACGTTTTAGAGACTTATAAATTATTTGACTTTACGGGTCTTTACAAGCAACGTTTATAATTTATAGCTTAGCTTCTGACTGCCAGCTAAATAATGATGCGCGAAAATTACGCCCAAGCTGAATTGCTAGCTATTGAATACGACCTACAGCAGTGGCTTACCTATACAGGGTGTTCATTTGAAAACTTGTTTTTATCGAAAAGTTAACAAAACGCCGAAACACGTCAAAAGATTTGTCATTTTTTAACCAAAAACTACTTCACTCCCTTTCACTCCGCAGGGTCATTCCTTAAAAGTTTTGAATGGTATCGAGTAATAGCTTGTTTGAAAGGTCTTTCGAAGTCCTTTATTTTGACGCTTGATTTTTTAAAATCGGTCGATGTGTTTTGGAGAAAATTAGAACAATTTCTACTCTTTCCGCTAGTGTGTAAACCACAAAAATCTGAATCAATAAATTAATTTTCATTATCCCGAGATTGTCACAAAGGTAACTGACAGCAAGTTAAATTCTTTCTTTCCGATAGCAACAAATAAGTGTGTTTTTTTTTCTATCTGAACAAATTAAGAGAGGTCGATTAAATAAATTAAATAAAGAATTTTCTAATTTTCTCGAAAACGAATCGACCGATTTTAGAAAATCAAACATCAAAATAAAGGATTTCGAAAGACCTTTCAAACAAGCGATTACTCGATACCAGTTGTCATTTAAAATTTATTTTTAAGGGAATGATCCTAGAGGTAGAGGGTGGAAGGAAGTAAAGTAGTTATTGGTTAAAAAGTTGTCTCCCTTGACGAATGTTTTGACGTTTTTCGGCGTTTGTTCCTTTAATCAGTGGTTTTCAAATGAACACCTTGTATATAAATTATTACACATTCTGCATGATCCTCGATTTGTAGTACATGGCAAACATACTTAAACAAACTGAATGGGTCTTTGAAGAAAAACGAAATTACTTTAATTTTGCGAATTTGTAGACGTTGATTAATTACATTTGCTCTCTCTTCTTCTTTACAGGATTATACCGCAAATTACCTCAAATAAATTCGAAGTAAGAGAAGCTTAAAAACGTGAAAATGGAGAAATTATTTTTTAATAAATACTTGTATATACATTTTTGCGGGTAAAGTAGGTAATAAGGATTTTTCAATTAGGAATTTAAATTTGGATCATTTCTATTTCGAGATTACTTCATTAGCATGTTTAATTCTTATTTAAGGGAATTTCTGAGTCGTGTGCACCGATATAATGTTTCTTAGAATTTGCCGTCTTAAAAACTACGTTCTCGAGATATAAAGCATAGTGGAAGTGTCATAATTCTCTCTTTGAAAGCACCCTAACTTAGTTAACAGAATGGAATATCGTGCAGACCTTATACTTCCTGTTAGTGATGTGGCATAAATATTAAATTATCACACATTGCTCTACGCGTACACCCAATTTATTTTTAATACATAATAACGAGTAAACGTCATTCAAGGGATGTAAATTACTTATTCTCCTGTTCCTTTATTCTAATCATGGTGCATAAAATCGTCTATTGCCTCAACTTGAGGTCCACTATAGGGAATCCCTAAAAATATCATTACTGGATTACTGACCATAGTTCCAAATTATTATAAATATTCACAGTACGATTCGGTTGTAGCATGACACTTATCACTTTGCGTAACAACATTGTAATGCTAATTATTAGGGATTGGTGCTGAATATTCCAAAATTTATTGTTGGATTACCGGAAACCATACTTTATTGTTCAAAATGTAGCAGCTGGATCTAGTTCAATAGAAACTTCTTTGGAGCGCTTTGGATTGAACCATTGAATACAATTATTTTTTATTCAATGATTGAACTCATAAGCGAATTTTAAGAATTCTAAGCTTGAATGACTAGTTTTGTAATGGTAACTGAGTTTTGTACCTATATCTTGATTATATCTGTGAAATTCATTAATTAATTGTTATTAGGGTACCTATCAAACTTTTACATTCAGCAAGTGTGGTCGCATCAGGGTTTCTAATCCAATATAAAACCTTCTAGCACAACTCGGAGAAGCTGCTGAAGTTGATCGAGGGTGTATATCGCTGGTTACCCTTGGGAACAATTGTCAACAATAAAGTCCTGATAGTCCACGGTGGCATTTCTGACACGACAGATTTGGATTTAATCAAGAGTCTCGATCGGGGCAAGGTAGGTGTATAGCGTATTCGTAAATTTATGATTTTACATTGAATAATTGGAGCCGAAAACGGATAGGATCTGAATTGTATGCAAATAAAATAATTTGTTGTTTTATTCAATTTGATTCCATTGTAATTACTGTCACTATGAAATGCTCTTGAAGTGTTCTATCCCTCTATCTACTTATTCTATATACACCCATATAACTTGAGACGGTTTAATTCAGAATTAATTCAGAACGATTGATATTCATAGAATGTATGTATTCATATATGCTTATTCATAATTTTAATTATAAGTTTAGCATGCTGTAGTGTAGATGATCAGTAATGTTGTTACAGATCATGTCTAATTTGTACATCTTTTGAATGCCCCTCGTATAGCTTTAAATTGTTTGTCGTAAATAGGTACACTGGTTTGCAAGATTATAGCGGGACCTTGGGGATATTGTAATCATTTGTGGGTTTTCGAAAGGACATTTTAATTTTGCTGTGCGCATCGTACCGATTATGTCGAGTACCTATAGTATTTAATACGAAATTAAATTCGTTTTAATTATTAACAACGTCATAAGCCGTTTAAAATAAAAAAAAATCAGAAGGCAGGCCGCTGTTTGTGCGGTAAGTTGGTTCAAACCAAAACGAGGGGGGGGGGTATTAATAATTCGAGGGTTTAATTTACGATTTATTTTAGGCCTTTAAAGTTTAAAATAATTATTGCCTAATTCAGTTTGGGAAGCATCGGACGTGAATTCGCGGTTTGCGAAACAACCGTAGTTCTTTGAAGGTTTGCCGCCAGTCACTGTCAGTTGGGGTTTGTGGAAGCTAAGCACGGTATTGGGAACCAGGAAAAGCCGTAGTCGCCGGAAGGATTAAAACTCATCAGGGGATTGTCAAGATCGCTCCCGCGACGATTCGGGGTCTCGTTCATTCACTTCATACGGCAATCTACACCTTGGGTTCTGGTCACCACCACTCTCAAACCACATACGAGAGTAGCACCTTTAACGATATCTAGCGATGGAGAGATACCCTTAAATTACAGACAGCTCGGTATTGTAAAAGCCTGCATATTTAGATTTTTTGTGTTACCTTGAAAATAACCGCCAAATAGTTTTGGGCGATATAATTCTTGAATAATTTTCTTTGAATGTGTGTCACTTGGTGTTTTGCATGCAAGGGAAGGGTGAATTGGTGAGTGTGGTATCGTATTTTTTTATGCATTGTCTTTGTGTACTAGAAATAAGTATAGTTATATTTTTTTTCACAATTATCTATATATATAAATTGTATCTGGAGGAATGTATCGTTAGGCCTTATATTGAAAACGCTAAAATCTATTAAACATAATTAAACAAATTCGTGTACCGAATTTTATGCGTTATCACCAGGTCGGTGATAATACATCACAATTGGTGCCCAACGTGGGGCAATATAAGGCTGATGATACTGCAGTGGTGATTAGAAACGAAGGTCAAAAACGTGAATAGATTTGAAATTTGTGGACATGATTTTGCGTTCAAATTCAAAACAAAAGCGTAACGTGATTGACGATCTTGAAGATCGAAATAAAGATGACGGGGTAAATAGTAGCGAAAATGAAAGGGGATATGTGGCGGCGGCGGTGACTCCTGAACATTCCGCAATAAATCCGTGTCAAATTCAATTAAATAATTTAGATCAGGGCAAAGGGAATAATCCCAAGAATATAATACAGGATGAACGAAGGGAAGAAAAAAAGGCAAATTTTCAAAGGCATGGGAATCGTGTTGAAGGGGGTGACGATGATGAATGGGGCAATAATTATGAACGAAGGGGGCCGCGTAGAGAGTTAGATCGAGGTCGCGGTAATACGGGGGCAATACCGAAACGATACGAAAATGATTTTTTTGAAAATGCCTGGTCATTGGAAAATAGTGGAATACCACAAAACACGCGTACGCGAATATCTGGTCCCAATAAACAATTTGAATCCTTAGGTGTTAAGCAGTTAAACGAAAAGTTGCAATATTATGTTGACCACCAACAACCCCTAAACGTTGTGGCGCAACCAGCGTACAGAAATAACCCAATGGATTTGTTTAAATTTCAAAAATATTTGCCAACTTTTGGGGGCACTGACTCAGAGTCGCCTATGGATTTTCTGGATGAGGTAGAGTTGGCTTTCGATGATTTCCGTGTAAGTGAGGGGGATAAGTTAAGGTGCATAGTTAGATGTTTAAAAGGGGCAGCTCATAAATGGCGACATGTGTTTGCCAGTAACGTTACTATACGTACAGACAGTTTAAAGAAGCATTCATTGCGGAGTATTGGGGCGAAGGTGCGCAAAGGCAGATTCGGTATAGGATTGATAATGGAGTATATAAACGCGATATAAATGTTAGTATGGCAGCATACTTTCTAGAGTTAGCACACTCGGCCAAATACTTACACATGCAGTGGTCAGATAGGGAATTAGTGTATGATTTGGCGGCGCACTTTACGCCAAACATAGAAAAAACCATTTTAAGCATGGGAAATCCGACAATTTCGGATACTTACAAATTGTTACAAAGACTAGAGGATGCGGAACTTCGGCGTAATTCATAGTCAGTTGATAATCGTAAAACTGGTGGGACGGAGACAATTTCCAAAGAGGCACCGACAGGGTTTAAAAATTGGCGTTTGCCAGAGAGTGCTAGTAACAATAACTATACGAGCCCTAAAGGTACTAATTTTAACTATAATTTTAATCGCGATAATAACCAGTATAGGGGCAGGAATAACGCGGAAGCAAAACCCGCATACCGCCCGGCGGCGAATAGTAAAGGGGAAGGGTTATCATACGGCATTAAAACTTTAGAATATCAAGAAGACCCTAACCAAGATGTGGCGATCACACAATCATTGGAACCCACAGAGGCGAACTCTCGCGCGTGCGATATTTCCAGATAGTTCGGAAAAGCAGGTTACAGAAAAGGGCCAAATCCCCAAAGTTAGCATCAGTATTTGCGGTCAGGTAGTGTCCACATTGATCGATAGCGGCTGTGAATTGTCTTGCGTGTCAGAACAATTCTTTGAAAAAGTTTTGCTGCCTAACGGAGTTCCGGTATTACCCGTTTCAGGCGTTAATGTTGTAGGAGCGATGGGGGAACGCAGTTGTCGAGTTCACCACCAAGTGCTGATTAAATTTGAATTAAATGATCATGCGATGGAGACTATTTGTTTAGTGGTTAGGAATCTAGTACATCCCATAATTTTTGGATCGAATTGGTTGACGGAGATTAACGGAATTATCAATTTTTCATACGGTAGCTTCACTTTTTCTAAAAGCAAACAGCTAGTGACTGTTGAATTTTTGGAATGTATAGGAAAAGAGGAAAAGCAAGGGGAACAGGAACCCGAAGATGAGTCGTTTAAAGTTATCGGTAATATTCAACTTAGTAAGGAGGAAAGGGAGGACAATCAAATCATAAATAAAGATCAACAGGTTGAGTTAGGCAATTTAATGACAGAATTAGGGGAAGTCTTTTCCGAAAAACCCGGTTTAGCGACCGTTTACGAGCATGCAATCAATGTTACCGACAAATCGCCGTATTTTGTTAAGCAGTACCCCATCCCTTTTGCGCATAGACCTGAATATAGTGTGCTGAATCAGTACTGTTTCAGGTAAGTAATTTTGAGGACAAAATCACTTGTTTCATTGAACAAATTCGGTATCCTCAGTAGCAGCCTCTCTTTGTTCTTTAGTAATAAATCGTAATATGTGGTAGAAAGCTTCAGACACTGTAAATAATCGAATTTTCTTTATAATTTCTGAAATCGCTGTCGCCCAAAGGACTAGGCCACACGAATTATCCAACTCTATATTCCAGAATATTTTTTACAGCTAGTACAAAGGGCCCAAATTTGAGGCCTAGGTACGCGTGGACCCTGTACATCCTCCTATCGTAATTCAAGTTCCAGAATGCGCAATCGCACACCGATTGATTCTTCTTGAAGAATTCCGACACTTATATCTTCAGATCCTATGTTTTCGTCCTCTTTTTTTGTTACCAATATTACCAATTGTATGAATCGGCCATTTTTTCACCACCAATCAAATAAAAATGAGTGACCCCTTATATAAACGTAAAGCGGTTAGGTTAGTCCTATTAGCCTTAGTTTTTTTCCCTTTATCCTTGTGTCTTTGGCACGTTACAAAGTTTCAAAAAGATCTTTTCTAAGAAGTTTTCTACGAATACTCCTCCTAAAATTCCAAAAACATCCCGAATTCCTAATATTTCAAGGAATTTAAGATTGTTTAAAAGATTTTAACCAATATATTTAACAAGTCGCGTTAGAAGGTGCTAAGATGATTTCAAAGGCTTAATAGTTCCTCGTAATTTTTATAAAAACACTTTTAAGATTTTGTAACCATAGTTCCTAATATTATCAAAAAATTTCAAGAAGAAGATTGTTTGGAATCTTACAAAAAACTCTTAAAAAAGTGTTTCCACTTTTATGTTTCGCCGTGATGATAGTGCTAACTTTTTGCTTGTAAAAAACCAGAGATCTTTGGGGAGCCCTTTGGCAATAGTTTTAAAATTTGGCAGATTTTACGGAGCTTTCTTCATGTTTCTTCTTTCAAAAACGTTTCGTTGTAAAGCTGTGGTATTTGTAATCTGCACTTATTTATGCTCTGTAACGTTTTTACGTTTGATATATAAAGAATCCTAATCAAAATTTACAATAGGGGCAACTAAATCCTTCGCCAACGTGTGTGCTTCCTAACAACAAATTAAGAAATTAGCGCAATTAAACTAATGTGACGCAATTTCTTGTGTTTTAATAATTATGAATGGTGTAAAGCAACAAGCGTCTATTCATTCCATTTTTGCGATGACTTCGTATAGCTGTATAGCATTTTGGCGGAAATAAGAAGAATGACTGCTATTGGATATACTTTGTTCGTTCGTACCTCAATTTACGTTTTGCAAAAGAGTGGTATGATCCGAAATTTTGATAGGAGAAATCTTATACCCTTCTAACTTAAAAGTTACAGGAAAAGTACGTCTCAATTATGTTTGATTACAGACGTTACTTGTTTTACAATACTTCTCTAAACTCCGGTTATTGATCGCCAATACAGAGACTTTTTGTCGCATTTATTTTACTTGAAAGTAAAACATATATTATATAGATATTAAAATAAACTGCAAATTACAATTTTGAGCACGATTTTGAGTAATTTGATTTGATCAATTTTTCATTCGTGGTAGCAAAGCAAAGAAGCCTTGCTGACTTTGTTCCGATAACGTAATCATCGCTTACGCTCTTGTTTAACTAAAATTTAATTAATTCCGTTTCTCTTTTAGTACATTTCCCTCTTGCGCCCTCCAATAACTGACAGCACAGCGCCAGGCGCCGAGCTTATTGATAAAGTCGAGTGGAAGCAGGTAGGTTGAATAAATTTGTTTTACTATTTTTACCACTATTTCTAATTCCGTCGTCGAAGTAAAAACGTGTTTATCTAGTCGAATTCTGTTTGTTAATTGGATAACCACAAACTTTGTATAAATAGGGATATTAATCATAATCCTGTTTTTGGTAATGAAGAAAGGCGGCGTCGTTCTGTTTAGTGTACTTACTCAAAGTTATACTTTAGGCAGTGTTTGTTTTACAGTTTTAATCATGATCTTGCTTCTCGAGACTTTGATGTTAACTTTATATACAAAACGCTTAATGAGCGGCAACTAAATTGCACCCAATTAATTTAAAAGTAGATAATTGCAATTTATGTAGTCACATCCTTTTGTGAAAATAGATCTTCATCGAATTTTAATCTTATTTTGCCTTACAGGTTTTTGATATTCTATGGAGTGATCCACAACCAGGCGATGGATGCATTCCAAATGGACTACGAGGAGCCGGAACGTATTTCGGCCCTGACGTAACAAAGAGGTTCCTCAAACGGAACAAAATGCTGTACTTAATACGTTCGCATGAATGCAAACCGGAGGGATATGAAATTAATCACAACAATAAAGTAAGTATGTATTAAATTTCTGTCCTATTCTTAACCATGTAAACAGGAAATCGTTTAAAAGCTTTTTTAACGGAATGGAAATGTTGGAACTTAGAGCCGACGAGATCTTGTTGGCTTCAAAGTAAAGGGAACTGTATTTCAGGTTATAACAGTATTTTCCGCATCAAATTACTACGAGTTGGGATCGAACAAAGGAGCTTATCTGAAATTAGTGGGACCACAACTTGATACGCACTTTGTTCAGTATACGGCGGCCACCGGTAAAACAAAACGTCTTACCTTTCGACAGAGAATAGGCCTTGTTGAATCCTCGGCGATAAGGGAACTGAGAGGGCACATTATGTCAAATAGGGAACGCCTACAGCAAGAATTTCAGAAAGCCGATCCCGATTTAACCGGTAAGTAACTTTCTTGTTTGTACATTCGATTACTCATACTCAACTCTTCTTGTATCCTCGCCTGTACCCTTTTCAGCTGAAACGTTTTTTTTTCATTTGAGTTATGTGGGAGCAGCTATTAAATTGGAAAGTTACGGTTTTTCCATATGCAATAAATAATATTGAAATAAGAGAAACAATTAAAATCGTACAGCTCATTGCGGGAACCACAATGTGGTAATCTTCTGGTATTTCAGTTCCTAATCTTACAAAATTCTATACACGAGAATAGACTTAGGCGTTATCTACGTCCCACGAGAACGAATAAGGATTCAAAGGTTTACTGGACGCTAGACGGTTGACCGTAGCTCGACGTTTTTAAATCAAGCATTAATGAATTAAAGTGCGTAGTCCGGTGGTACAATGTGGGATTCACTATCGATTCGATGTAATTAATTGGGTAATTACACCGCACATTTTGTAACATCGGACTTTATAGATAATATACTTACTCGTAGATAATTAAGTTCTTGCCTCGGTTTTTGTATAGGTTTTTTTTTATGTAAGTCAGGGGTTTACTAAGGTTTTGACCCACAACCTTTTATAGTGTCCACTGTCCACTGCCCAGTATCGGTTTTAGGTTTTACTTTTAATACGAACCGCGCGTCAAACCTGATTGAGTTGAAAATGCTACAGAAGTAAAAATTCGATTTTAGTTTCAATCAGGGTTTCAATTAACCAGATAGAGTTGAAAGACAGAATGCTTATAACATAATTAGGTTGGTCTTGACAAACTTTTGCACTTAATCGCCTCCAAAGTTTAACATTGTTTTCCGAAACACAAATGCCCATTAACGTTTTTCATTATAAATATTGTGTACACCGTAAGGGTAATTAAAAACTCGCTTTAAAAGTTTTCTAATTAAAATATCACTGCAGAGTTCCATTAATATTTAACTTTCCCCCTTAAAATAAAAGCAAAATTTGACGAAATAGAAGAATCTGGAGGATCTCAGGAATCTGAAAAATTGAAAGGTATGCAACATCCAAAGAAACGGAATCTGAGGAGTCTGTATATTTGAAAATGAAGACTCGGAAGACTCCTAGAACTTTGCCTTACTGTGCATTATTATATTATTTTCATTCAAATCAAAACTTTTACTTATTTTGTTTTATGGATATCGGCACACAATTCCTACGCGACGCTTGGCATGAAGAAAAAAGAACAAGGATAGTGACTAATGACTCAGGATTGCGCAAAAAGCCGCAGAAATCATTAGGCATGATTTTAGAGATTCTCACAAGAAGCAAGATTCTTGCTTCTTGTCTTGTCTTGTCTTGCGCAATACAATAAGTGTTCTTGCATATGGTTTTGCAAGACAAGACAAGAAGAACCTTTGCAAGACAAGAAGGCTTCGCAAGACAAGACAAGAAACACTCAATGCAAGACACAACTTTCACAAAGCTTGTGTAATTCTTATTATATTACCTATACTAGTCGACTGTCATTTAAATACATGATCATTACAAACCGACAAACCCCAAATTTCACTTTCATTCACACTAAGCTAAGACACTTCGTTAGGTGACAGAGAAATTAAAATTACCCCTTAATTACTGGTAATACCTCAATTGAAAATAATCCTTACCAAGTTACAATTCACTTGATTTACCTATACCTGTATATGCTGTAGAAATTTTACAGTTTAAAGTTGTTTGAAAACATTATTCTAACTTAGTAAAAAATTGCCTTTTCTTCAAAATAAATAGACACTAATAATTTATAATTTACGCAACATTTGTGGGATACAAGATTGTTGGTTTCGCTTTTCTGAAAAATTTCCCTTTTTTCTGTAGGATACGAATTCAGTAAGATATGACCGTTTAAAGTTGGCATATGTTCGTAAATAGTAATTTGTTCAAACCCTGTCAAAAATAAGAGGTGAAAAAAAATTTCATATGACTACATTGAAAAACTATTTTCAGAAAATTTGGGACTGCTTGTATAAATTGTATTAATACTCTGTCACGCCAACAATTCTACGTCAGTTACCTTCTTAAACAGCGATAGTTCTAACGCTACCGTGCTCAGGCTATAATCAGACTCAAAACAGTTTAAAAGAAAGTAATAACGGAACTCCGTAAACAAACAACTTCGCAACAAATACATCTAATGATAACTTTGGAAAAAAACCGATGACAGATATGAGATAAGCCATTACCGTTTCATCTACTTCAATTTCCATGTCATTTAGTACATTTGCCCTTTAGTTGAAAAAAAATATTTGTAAAGGGAAACGAATTTAAAGTAAAAAGTTGAAACCGCATGTCGAGATAATTTGGAATGAAAGAAGTCGCAAAGGTAAAATGCTACTTTACAAAAAGAAATATATATGCTTTCAATTTATCACGACTATAGTCGGAATACTTTGAATTATTACTCAGCTTCTTTTTGTACGTGCGGTTGTTACCCGACACAGATTGTATCTTCTCGCTCCTCACAGCTATAGGCCTTTTTTGCCCAACGAAGTAGCGGAAATTTAAAAGATGAAAGGGTTTTGTTCGTGTTTAGATATTAAACATGTCACTGTTCATCGGCAACCGTTTTCAATTTACCTATATCGTTATTTAAAGTAAGTAACTTTATCGATTTGGAGTGTATTGGACGTAAAATAGCAAACTTTAAACATGTTCTCGTGTGGGAATACTCAAGTTTCCAATACTGTCAGTACCGATTTTCCGTAATTCCAATAGTGTAAGTATTCGGAAATTGCTTCCAATGAAACTAGAATGCTTACTCAGTGTTTTACACCTATACTGCTGCCCAACATAAATAAATAAAGGCCCTTTTTATGATCTCATCCGTGCTTAAAAGTTGTACACAAACTTTTCACATGTTATTTTTCAGGTTTTATTCCAGTAAGCGAATGGTGCAAGTCAATGGAAACCGCAACAGAATTGGGGTTGCCATGGCGAATGTTACGGGAAAAATTAGTGGCGCTAGAAGCCGACACACAAATGGTTAATTACTCCACTACTTTTGATAAAATTAATGATAGTGATATTACTGTAAGTACCAACAAAAACGCACTGATACCTTTGAGATCTATTTTCAGACCGTCCAAGGCGCAAGTACCGTTGTCGAAACTTTATATCGCAATAAAAGTAGTTTGGAGGCGATCTTTCGGATAATTGATAAGGACAATTCCGGTAAATAGAACGAAGTTTTTAATACCCTCGGCAAAACTAATTTAGTCCCCCCCCCCCAACAAATGTCCAAAGTTGATTTATTCTTCACTTGGAAACCGCCGGAGTGGAAGTGACGTGGAAAATGTTTATGCGTCTTTATTCGGTTTATTAAATCACGAGCGTCAATTTCGTAAACGGCATGAAATATTTCACTCGCGTTTTCATTAAAAATCCTTTGAGGAATGTGAATTTATAATATAAGTAAAATTGAAAGATTGATTAGAATTGGCAAAAAACGGCGGACTGCAAAATCAGGGTCACGGCAATTACTTTTGAGTTAATATGAAAATTGGAAATTAAAATTTCCATTTGCTACAAGTACTAAATTTGTGAATTCTGTTGAGTTAGAGGTTTTTGATGGTTTCAAATTATTTCCCGTTCACATCCGTTCAATAATAGTTTACGAAGCTGTTTTGGATTTCAATGCGGTGCGGTATTTGTTTAGGTACGTTTGAGGACGAAAGGCAGATGGAATAATTATCAAGCGGTAGCGGTTTCGAAAACAGCAAGGGATGGGATTAGCTGTATTGTCCGTCATTAGGTTGCGCGTCGCGTAATTACCCACGGCGAATTTCCTAGGAAATGTCGAGATTAATAGATGCGTCGTATGCAACGACTATTTAAACACAAGGTAACGCAACCCTTCATCGCAAGACGCAAAATAGCTTTGTGGGAATATCGGGCAGACGTAAAGGAAGCGCTTGGGCGGGTGCATGTGGAAGCACGCTGTTTTTTCCTATTTGCTGCATCTTCGTCCTCAAACCAGCGATTAAATACATGTCAAGTTCATTAATCAGCGGTATATGGTGCGCTCTTAACTTCCCCTTATAAATTAATAAGGAAAAGAGTCACTGGAACACCCAATAAATTCTCTAATCATCCATACATTTTCTGTTCCTGCATCCATTTCGGTATCATATAAACTCAGTAAAGCTGGAAATTGCATTTCCGATTTCCGTCAGGCGTAATTTACCTAACGGGATAAACATGCGATTTGTTTACATTTCATCGTATGCTTTGACTAACTGTACACTCCATTACATCCCATCACTGATAATGCAATTTATTAATCGAATGGTTTGCAATTACCGAAATGAAGCAAATTCTCATTTTTAACATTTTAGCTTAATAAATTGCATCGTTTACTGTTGACCCATCTATTAGCTACTAACGATGAACGTAATGACCTACGCGCAGATTGTTTCATCTTTGCGACTTTTTCAAACCTTCCTTTCATCGTCCATTAATCTTAACTATAATATTCACACGTCCATCTAATCCCCAGCAAAGAATGCTCTCGTTTAACATTTTCCACCCCACTTGCGCCGTTGTGGCGAATGGGACTGATTTTTCTGGAATGGAATATCTTTTAGATTTAAATTAAATTATTAGTGTGCGATTTATAGTCCAGACTTGAAAAAATAGAGCAATTAATTATGCGGTTAACATTGTTTCAGGAGTGGTTAGGTTACCCTAAAGAACTTACAGAAAGTCCTCACGATTCCACAGTATGCGGTGATAAGGAAGTGATTTGAAATTCATATTTTTACACCCTTTGCACCCCGTTTACTTTGGTTACACCTAAATCCCCAAGTGTATTGACTTGAGACTGACAAAAATAAACGAATTAAATACGCTCTTAACGTATTCACCGCTTTCACTGACAACAATATCATTGGTACACGCAATGAAATTTACCATTACATTGAAAAAAATTGAACTTTACCTTTTGAAAGCATACCCTAAACGAAAATCCACAAAACTAAAATCAATATTTTTAAACGAATAGGTACCGTAATTAGAGTCGTATGGACCGGTCCCCTTCCGATGCAGATGAAATGTTTCCTGATTCTGATATTTTACATCCCTGCAGAGCTCCAGAGAGGGGTTGGAGTGGAAACTCTCATTGCCGCTCATTCCCGTAAAGCTCAGACCAAATGCGGGATCGTGGGAAACTTGAAATGGATTTATAATGGTTCTAATTTGCGCATACGTTATTACAAATTAAGCACATTGTAGTCTCTGAGAAGAAATCCACACTGATATTATATGGAATATTTATAGTTACTAACTTTGGTTGTCGCAGTTTTCGAATTCTTGAGCGTTTTACTGATTCATTTCAGCACCTCACGGATCCTTATACTGCAGTATGCAGCCAATCAAATGTTGACATTCTTGTTTAAACTCAGATTTGGCAAATAATGTAGGATTTTTTATAATTCGCTTTCCTGCAACCGGCCGCAAGTGAGAAGTGAGATAATTTAAAACATTGCATCAAAATGTATAATACAACGAATTGTTTTGTGAAAGTGTACACAAGAACTAATGCCCAAAAACTCAACAGCGCAGCAAGAATTACAAATATCATTTATCTATCGCACGAACTGTTTGATCGCAAAGGAATTAAATCAAGGTCTGCTGCCTCACCCTAGACAATTAATTGAGTACCATAGCAAACATTTGAGAAATTTGATGAACTAGATTCCAGTTTGTCTTGCACTTTATCATCTCGTTCTAATTTTCAGGTTTCATCAGTTTAGAAGAGTTTTCGGACGCATGCAACTTAATTCGAGAACACATGCCGAATCCAATTAGCCACGACCAACTGTTGGACATGTGCCGACTGATGGATATGAACAAAGATGGCTTAGTAGACCTTAACGAATTTCTGGAAACGTTCCGTATGGTAGATCCCGAACAACAGGGAGGGGAGTTTAGAACTTTCTCAACGGAGTTGTCCAAAGTAAATGTGAAAACATCTCCCAATCACCTTTCCGATAAAAAGGAAGGTAATGGTCTGGTGCAGAATGAAGTTTGTGCGTCACCCTCGCTCAAAGACGATCTGCATTCGTCGTTATTTGGGTCTCCCGTGCATAACGTCGTAGAAAATAATATAGATTCGCCGTTACTGTCGAGTCCAAAAGCGGCTAATGTAACAGTGACAATAACCAATACTTCTCCACCTAGCTCTCCGAATTCCTCTTCGAATATTATTAATACTCTAGGAAAATCGCCTGTGTTGAGTAATCGACTTGCTAGAAAGTAGAATTAAATTTATTTTAAACGGTTTGGTGTTTTTAATCATTTCCCAGCCAATCTGTTGGATAAAAGTCAAAAATCTGGGAATCTTCTCGCATTGTGATTTGATTTGTTTCCTAAGTTATTTAAGAGGAACATAAAATCAATATAGAATTAAGTCTATCTTTATATACCTACCAATTTCGAGCGTAATTTGAACAGTTTCGTAATATAAGCTAACAAAAGTTGGATGAATTTATCAGATAATGGGAGAGAATATCCTGTGTTATAATTGCTACTCCATATGTGAATTTATATGATGTTATAAACTTGTAGTAGGTATAAATGTCGTTTTAAATGGTGCTATATAAACTCTTACTATGTTAAAAGCGCGAATGTTTTCCAAACTTGCTTAAACAATATACAAACAACTAAAAATTATGAATAAAAAAGACAAAACGTTCTCATAATCACATATCTTATTCTACTACACATACTTATATAAATGTTAAAAGATTAATAATTCAAATTAATGAAAGTTATATATAACAGTTGTAAGCGTAAAATTTCTAATAGGAGCAATAAAAATCTAGTATATCTAGATTGAGCTAGTAGATTTATATTATATATACAAAGGGGCCACTTCCATGTATCCTAAATATAAAACCTAGTTTATATCGCTTGTCCAAGTTTCTTGTTATAGTTGTAGATGAAATATTATATATTTAAATAATTATCTATATAAAGTAAGTGTAACCCAATATTTTGTGATATAATTTTTATATGCGTATGTATAAGTTAAAGTAGTAACGAATGATGGGTTTACAGGTGGGTTGGTATCGAATTTTAATGTATAAAATGTCGCCTAATAGAAAAAATGGTGGATGACCAAATTTTTCCAATTAGAAGTAGATGCATAAAATTCTACCATCCTGAAGGAGTTTTTCAATGATTCCCAATTAAATTTGACAGACATGTGTTAGGTTCTTATTTTAAATCATTTACAATATTTTGAATTATTTAATGAAATATGTCATTTTGACTTTCTTACAAATTGTAACTGTTTACAACTTTTGGAAACAATAAAAGTAAAATTGAGTTCAATTATTTTCCACAACTAAGCCATTTACATCGCGATTAACCACCTTTGTCCCTAAATTCAATTTTATAGCATTTGACTAATAGGACAAGTACCTATGTCAATGCTACTTATAGTATACCTGTTAGCAACGTGTTATCTCGGTTGACATGTCTCACTGTCGTAAAGCAAAAGAGGAAACGAAACACAAAGGTCTAATCATCTTTGAAAAATTGAAAACCTGTTCCTTATTATTCAAAAATGCGGGTTAGTAAAATTGCAAAGTTTCAAAAATCGCTTTTTTATTCAACGATGTATTTAATCTATATTTCAGTAAACCGAAACCCCCTCCGATTTTGTATAATTTTACAAAATGTTTACCTCATTTTTCAAGATGGTGAAAAGAATTCGAACCCCCAGTGCCAAGAATACGCAATGATTTTACATTCATTCAGAAGAAAACTGAGATAATACGGCTATCGAAAGCTTAAAAGCTCGATCCTTTTCCGCGGACCGTCAGGTCAATCTGTTCTTTTCCCTCATAACGTTTGTCTGCTCATACCATACCACTGATGAAGCAAGCAAATAAATCTGTCTCGTACCTATGATGTAAATTTACAGTCACATCATACGAGGGGTCCTTTTTATATTCCCGGACTAAGCATGAAAACCAAAAACGAGAGGGACAACACTATATTTTTCAATTTAGTACCCCTGATTTTGAATACAGGTGTAACACCGTTTTAATAACATCTTTAATCCAGTATAGAAATCTTCATTTGGTTTTTCCTTAACAGCTGTCCATAAATTTGGTCCCCCTTGGTGTTTTTTTGGGACTGTAAGGTGTATATTTAATGTCTTCGAAGCCACAATCAGGCACAGCAGCTTTTGAGAGTCC